GCCGCCCAGGCAGAGCCGGAGGTCCAGCAAAACGGAGGCCACCCAGGGCCAGAGGCGGAGGTCCAGCAAGATGGAGGCCGCCCGGGGCCAGAGCCAGAGGTCCAGCAAGACGGAGGCCATGGAGAGCCAGAGCCAGAAGCCCAGCAAGACTGAGGCCATCCACACCCCAAGGCAAAAGACCAACAAGACTAAGGCTACCCAGGGCCCAAGGCAGAGGCTCAGAAAGGCCCGGGTTGCTCATGGTCGGAGCTGGGGACCCAGCAAGGCTAATGCCACCCAGGGCCACAGCTGGGGACTGATGCGAAGTTCCAGTAAGACCAAGACTTTCTATGACCCAAGCTGGAACCCTAGTAACACTGAGGCCACTCAGGGGCAGTGCCAAAGTCCCAAAAAGATGGAGGATCCCCAGAGCTGGACTCAGAGCATGAGCCTAGGTTCCAGCGAGACTGAGGTCACGACGGGCCTGAACCAGAACCCCAGCCAAATCCAGGCTGACCAGAACCCCAGTCCTGGCAGTTACACTGCTCTCTGAAGGGGCCCCTGAGCCCCTCACTTCTCGCCGGGGATGGGAGATATTCTACCCTCACACGCTGGCACTCAGCAGTTAGAAACCTCAACCAACATTCCTCTGGTCCCATGGCTTAGTTTATTGTATTCTCTTCTTTTACAAAATTAAAAATTTAAAAAACCAGGCCCAACTGGCAGCATGAGTCCCTCCGTTCACGGAGACTGAGACGTCTCAGCCTGGCTTTACAATACCGGGACATAGGGTGTGGGATGGAAGGTTGGGGTATGGTGCCAGGGCAAGGGGCCAAGGTAAAAGACCAAGGAGGGAGGAAGCAGCCACAAGCCACAGTCCCTGAGTTACGATTCACATTTTAAGAAGGCTCGGGCTGGAGGGTGAGGTCAAGGCTCATTGAGGTTCTGGGGTGACCAGAGGTTTCCCCTGGGGAAGCAAAGGCCAAGATGCCCTCAGACCAGTTAAGGGGCCGAGGCCCACTCTGGCCCTCTGTCCTATGGCCTACCATCTTCATCTTCAATTTGTGCTCTGGGTCCCACTCTCCAGAGGCTCTGGACAAGGGTCCCTCTGACAGTGGCCTCAGGGCTTCCCTGCATGGCCAGGCCAGGTAGAGGGCGAAATGCCACCTGGAGCATCAGAGGAAGAGGGCAATTCGGGAAGCCACAGTCTTGCAACCGTTGGAGGAAAAGAGTTGCTCGTCCTCAGGGAAGAAGATGGTGCTGTCCAGCACAGCCTGGATCACGTCATCCCTTTGCTCCAGGCCCAGCTGGGCCAGCTCGTTGAGCACACAGTGCCGCACGTGGTGCCGCTGGAGCGGGAGGAAGGGCACCAGAGCGTCCAGGAGATGCTCTTCCATGATGCCCGAGCGCCAGAAGCCATCTGCAGGAAGGGGTGATGGGGAAAAGAGGCTGTGCTTCCCAGAAGCTGGGCCTCCGCCCCTAACGGCCAGTGTAGGTACGCTGCTGGTCTCAACGCTTTCAGCCACCTTCCAGGCGAAGGGCTCAGAGAGGCTGTATGACAGCCAGGAGCCCCAAAGCTTGGGCTGGGGAGGACCAGGTCACTGGAGCTGGGGGTGAAGCCTCAGCCCGCTAAAGCCACCCCGGGGGCCTCCTGAGCCAAACTCACGGTGTGGGTTGTCCAGCACAGCCCGGGAGATGACCGGCTCCAGCTCCTGTAGGCGGATCTCCTCGCGGTCCCGGTGGAGGCGCCACGCCTCCAGCGCCACTTGGTTGATCTGCTCACCACCGGTGTTACTAAAGCCATGGGGCCCCGGGCCGAGACTCAGACAGTGTGGGGCAGGATTTGGCCCTCGCTTCCCAAGCGCCACCTAACATGACCGGGGCCTAGAAATCCAGCTCAGTACCGGCAGGAGACTAAGCCACTGAAAACACCCCACAGGAACCACTTCCCCACTCTGGAGCTTGTGTCTACAACGGCGACCCCTGGAAACTCACCTACAGGTGCCATGCACTTTGTAATTTACAAAACACTTTTGAGTCCCTTAATTAACTTTCCCTCACCCGGCCTCTAGAAAGATAGTGGGGCACCCATGCTGCTGTTCAGAAGAGGGCATGGGAGCTCAGAGAGGTGAAGTAATTTGCCTAAAAAAACACAGCGAGGACTCTTAGAGGTGGGACTAGAACCTTAGCCCTGTTTTTCCCAGGCCTGGGTTCTCCAGGCAACAAAAGAGGGAAAACTGTATGCAGCAGGACTTCCACAAAGGAATGCTGAGGATCAGAAAGACAGCCCAGAATGGGCTTCGAGATCGTCAGAGGGGAAGTTAACCGCCTTGAATGATAGTGTCACCAGCGAGACTGTGAGGGGCTCTGGGAAAGCCTGATTGGGCCCAGAGGGACAGTATTCTGTTGTGGGACCATGGGCCAAGACTACGTAGCTGAGACCTCTAACATGTGTCCTCATATTATGCCTGCTGCACAGCTAGGGCCCACCTGATGAAGATGAAGATGGCTTTGCGATAGTTGGTCCCGAACACAACCGAGGAGGAGCCCAGGAAAGGTCGCAGGACCTCCATCAGGCCTGGGGCCAGCTTGTCCATCTCATCGAACAGGAAGAGGGAACGGCCACAAACAGTGAGGTTCCCCTGGACCCAGCTCTTGAGATCCTTCTGCAAGAAAGAGGTAGGAATTTGAGGGGACAGGAAATACAATCCCAGCCCCAGACTTCCTCCCAAGGCAGGGACTCATCCCCTTCCCAGAACTGCTGGTGAAATCGGCCCTGAGAGGGGCAGAGATTTGTCCAAGCTCAAATAGCAAGTCAGCAGGAGAACAGGGACTCAAACCCAGGCCTGGCACCTGCCTGTTCAGGGCTCCTTCCCTGACACCTACTGCTTTCTATAAAAGGAGAAAGGCTCCTCCTTGCTCCATGAACTTTCTCAGCATTGCTGACAGCTGAAACAGATCAGCCTGGAAAGCACCTTGTAATCGACAACAGTAAGAGTAGTAAGAGCTAATATTTATTGAATACTAACTCTGAGCCTCGAATTGAGGCTCAGTGCTTTACAGAGAGAAGATAATACAGAATGTCTGGCAAAGATAAGAACTCAATAAATATTAACACCTTTAATGCTGTAAACCCATGTTCCTCACAACAACCCTGGCAGGTAGGTTGCATTACTGCCCCCTCCCCACCCCAGGAATTAAAGTGAGAACCCCCTGCCAGGTTGACTGGAACCATCCCGACCTCTGTTCAGGATAGGTCTTGAGGACTGAGGCTCCAACTGGCTATGTGGCCTGGTGCAAATGAATCCCCATCTCTGGACTTAGGACTCACTCCCTAGGGTATGGTGCTCCATGACGCAGGCAAATGATAGTCCAGGATGCAACCAGCCTACCTTGTAGCGCTCCATGTTGCTGGGATGGGGGAAGTGGATGACGGGGGAGTAGTGGTGCACATGCGGGCTGCGGAGGCCACCCCGGAAGAGGTAGTGAGCCAGGAGGGAGCTGACATAGGACTTGCCAGTGCCTGTCCAGCCGTGCAGGGAGAGGACCAGCGGCTTGGTCGGGGCTGGGTCCTGCGCGAAAGCTTTCAGTGCTTTCACCACCAGCGCCCTGGCCAAGTGCTGGCCCGCCAGGTGCTGGGCCAGGTCACATTCCAGACCTAGGGCCACAAAAAGGACAGTGTCAGAGCTGAGGCCACACTCCCGCCATGGAAGAGGTTCAAGGGGGAAGTGATGTCTGGAACCTGGCCTAGGGATACGTGGGGTCTGGGTCGATTTTACAATGTCGGCGGAAAGAGAGTGGTGCCCTTGAGGTCTCCTGCTGCAGGAGTCACCCGCACGCAGACCCTGAGGCCTGATTCAGCTCGGCAGCGCCCACACCAGGCCGCCCTCTGAATTGCGCGAAGTGGGCGCGAGCGGTCAATGGGGTCTGCCCCAGCACCCTGCCCATCCCCAAGGCAGGCTTCTTCCTCACGGCCAGCCCATTGTGGAGGTCTAAACCAGCCCCCAAGGCCCGGCTTTCGAAGGCCTCTCTCCATCTTGACAGGGCTCTGCCTGGACTCCAAACAGGCATTCCTAAACCCTCGCCCCAAGGCCGGTGCCCCAGGCTCTCAGGGTCCCTCAACGCGGGGTCCACTTCAGGCCCTGGCCATGGGGAAGTCTAGGGCTTTCGCCCCTCAGTTCCGCCCTCCAGGTCCGACAACGCCAGAGTCCAAGGGCTTTCCAGTCCGCTGGCCCCTTCGCTCCGGGCTTCCGCGGCTGCTCACCCTGGAAGTCGGGCCGGAAGTCACATTCGCAGAAGGTGCCGAAGTTGCAGCGTAGCGAAGTCAAGTCCCAGGCGAAGGCCGCGGCCGACACCAGCCCGAGCAGCGCGAGGAGGAGCGAGCCCCAGGGCTGGCAGCCACGCGTGGCAGCCGCCATCCGGGTGAGGCCCGAGCCGGGTCTGAGGCGGCCAACTGCCTCTCCTGAGAACTACAGCTCCCGGCGTGCATCCCGGCGGCAGCCTCCGCCTGGGGCCTACAACTCCCGGCTCCCCTCGCGGTCCTCTCAAAGGCTGGCCTGGTCATCCCACAGCAGGGCCAGAAGGTAGCCTCCAGGGGGAGCCCACGAACTGTCCAATCGGGGACGGCTGGCCGCGTTTCCATGACCACGGTAACTAGGGGACCATCATAGTAGCTCCAAAAGAATAATAAAGGATTATGACCACAAGGGTGACGTAACAATTGTAGCAAAAACTTGTGCAGCACCTCACACCTTGCAAAGAGCCTTGTTCTTTAATAAAAGAGCTCTCGGTAACAGCTTTTGGTGAGCACCGACTGTGTGCCATTGGTATTAGATACCTTACATATCCTATAAGATGATAACAATACCTGTCATACAGAGAAATGGTGATATTCCAATGCGGTACAGCACATAAAGTGTTTTGACTCAAAGAAATAAATGATCATTGACAATCTATTATGTATAAAAAACATGATGGTCCTTTACCTAGCAGCTACTCTGCGCTAAATGGTTTAACAACGATCCTAAGAGATCGATTTTGTTATTGTCCCCATTTTATTGAGGTGGAAATTGGGACGGGAGAGGTTAAGCCTCATATCCAAGGTTATCTAGCCAATAAACAATAGAACCGAACCCAAGTTTGGCTGCCACCAAAGATCTAATGCACTGTCACCCAGCTTCTCTTAGTGAAAGAATTCAGAAGGCAAAGAACCCCAGACATTTCAAATTCAGTGAACGGGCTCCCCAGGCCTCCAGCCTGCCTTGAAATCCTGTCGATCCATATTGCTTACTTCCCCGACATACAGAATCAAGACAACTGCCTTCATGGCCCTTTTCAAAGTCCTCCTGCCCCCACCCCCAAACCACGACTCCTGAGGCCACATCTCAAAGCCTGAAAAGTAATTAGTGGTTCCCACTATTGAGAAGAGAGAAGGAAAGAACTCTAGGTCAAGACACCTAGGTTCCAGCCTTCCCCATTCTGCTGCTGTGACCCAGGGAAAGTCTCTTCTCCCTGGGTTTTCTCAAAGGGGAGATGGAATCCTAGATTTCAAAAGCCCTTCTGCCTCAGACATCTGGGATCCTTGGCTGTGCATTTGTGGGAGCCTTTGCTGTGGCTTCCCCCGGCAGGGAATGGGGTAGGCAGGTCAGCGTTTCTCCCACTGGTTAGAACTGACTGTTTATCTCCCCCACTGGCTGTGAGCTCCTCCAGGACGGGGACTGGGTTTTAGTACTGACTGCAACTCTGGCTCCTGGTACAGTCTGGAATGTCCCAGGTGCTAAATATTTGTTGAATGAATCATTTCACCTTTCACGTAAGAAAAGATGCTTCCTCCCTCTGCCCCCAGGACCCCCTAAGAGATAGAATAAAGAGTCATAAAAGTTTATTATATGAAAGAAAGGGCATGACTTCTGTACATCTATTTACAGAACAGATAGACTTATTTACAGCCAGATGGAGGCCTTGGTGTCAGTGGGGAGCAGATGCCTGGAGAAGAGTGAGGAGGCGTGAAGAGCCTCCCATGGCTCAAACACAGGACACCTCA